TTTTATGTCGAAGGGTTCACATCATGTAACTGGTTTACTCTTACTGTTGGAAGTTTTAAAAATTTTCAAGTGAAGAAATACATCCATCGTTCATTGAAGGCAAGTAGAAAAAACGTTCAAACAATAAGAATTGCAAGAAGCCCGACGTAAATTATGAGGTTAGGCATTATATTTTTGAATTTTTTTTAATGAATTTAATGGTGGATTGGAGGTGATTCTGTTTCATTTGAAAAGTGAAAGACTTGAAAATATAGGTAATAAAAGGAAAGAAAAGCGCATCTATAATAAGTTGAGAACTTAACTACGGCTCACGTAAACTTTCCGTTGTTATCAATTAAAGCAGACGAGAGTTTCAGTCGAACTTTGATAACTCGTACCTATTTAAATTGAATGCCTTCCGATGTGGAAAATTTTTTTCCAAGTCTATAGCTGAATTCCCTAAGAAAGAATGCATTAAAATCTCCCTAATTTGAACGCTTTTCCGATCTAACCTCCAGCATAACTCTAATTTTCAGCAGGGGCCTTTTAGGTATCATTTTATTGACGCAGGAAAGAGAAAACGAACGAAGGAACTTGATGCGTTTTGAAAGGAAGTGAAAGATAAATTGGGCAAATTATAACCCTTGCCTCCAAGTTAAGGATCATGTCAACTCATTTCGGAAGCCAGTTACGGCGATCGTCTTATAGTAGTTAGTGTTAAAGGACATTTATCATAAAAAGGGGGTTGTTTTTTCGAGCAAAGGAATTGAGCTTTGGAGAAGTTGAGTCTAAAAAGCAACCAGGGAAAACTTTAAGCTGGAGTGCATGTTCGACTGTATATATTTCAATTCTGTCTCAACTACTCTACAGCTAGTTTGCCTCTGCTGGTTTCACTGCCGGGTACGATCATCGGACACTACATGACAGCAGTGTGCGGTCCCAAGAGTATTCTGACAATCATTCTGCTGCCAACGATTGCGAGTTGGCTCATGGTGGCACTGGGCAACACCTGCACACTTTTCTTCATTTCCCGCACGATTCTCGGCATCTGCGGCGGCATTGCCATGCCCATCGGGCAAACGTATTTGGCGGAGATTTCCTCGCCGAAAACCCGAGGTTTTATATCGTCTACGTCTATATTGGCTGCGATGACGTTTGGGCTGCTGGAAAGCATAGCTGCGTGTCTTGTGTCTTGGAGAGCTTTAGCGTGGACAAACGCTGCACTGGTGATGCTGCATTTGCCTTTTGCATTCTTCTCGCCAGAATCGCCTGTTTGGCTGCTCAAGAACGACGCAGATGAAGCCGCCAAACGAGGATTACAGGTACGTGTTTTGTGCAAAAAAAAAATTAATTTAGGATTCCCTCGGGACGTTTAGAAAGTGCTTCGAACAGGTACTGCGGTTTGAAGGTTTTTTTTTTTTTCAGTGCATTACTTCGGGAGAAAATTCAAATATACAAAGCTTTCAATCAACTGCGGATTATTTCTCGCAAATCTCGATGGGTTAAACAAAGTTTTATTAATTCATGATAGCACGAAGTAAAAAAGATAGGTTGAAAATGTAAAAAAACCATCAAACTTCGTTACCACACGAATCCCCCAAGAAATGAGACCCCTTGAAAAAATTAGTATCGATGTTTTTTCTAGAACTTTAGACCGAAGAAATAAACCAATGGGTTAGACTCGTATACAGTACAATGGTCTGATTTTTGAATTTATAAGATTTCGGAAGAATAAAAACCCCAAAAATGTAGTTGGTGATATTCTAGGTCTTAAATTGCTTTTTGAATTAATTGACAGGATGCCGAACTATAAGGAGGCAAGGGTTCATTTGCCCAATTAATTTTTCGCTTCCTTTCACAGCACAATAACTCGCATTCATACTACTTTTCTTTTTCCTGTATTCATAAAATGACAGCCAAAAAGACGAACAGAAAATTCGAGTTTTTTAGGTTTGAGAGGAAAAGCCTTGGAAGTCAGGGAGGGTTTTGAATGCATTGCTCGTATAGGACAGACAGGTACTTCAAAAAAATTCGACACTTCTTCTCAAGCCCCCAATAAATAGGAAAGTAAGTTACGTCAGGGTTACTCATCAAGTTCCCTCAACATTTCAACAGTTCATCAGACGGACAAAGCATGTCGATGCGGAATTGAAAGATATCAAAAGCCATATTTCTGACACCGAAGAACAAGCCGCCGGGAATTCGAGCGATCTTCTTCATTGGACATATTTGAAACCGGTCCTTCTGTTGCTGGTTTTCATGGCTTTGCGACAATTCAGTGGCGCCTTCGTCGTCATTTCCTACACTGTCATTATTTTTGAATCGGTCGGACACGGAATCCTGGACCCTAAGGTGTCCACAGTGATTCTCTATTCCGTGCAACTGCTATTGAACCTGATGTCGAATGGTTTAACTGACACTATCGGACGTAAAAAGCTCATCATCGCGTCATCACTCATCATGACCGCGTCGCACATCTCCTTCGGAACTTTTTATTATCTCAACGAGTTGGTGAGAGAGAACAAGCCCATAGGCAACGTGAAATCTCGTGATTAATTCTTTTTATTTATTCTTAGGATTTTTCGAAGATGAGACCGTACAACTGGGTGCCCTTGATTTCCTTGATTGGTTTCTTCGTCGGATTTTCGATCGGTTTCGCATCCATACCTTTCGTTTTCATGACCGAGCTCCTGCCATTGAGAATCCGAAGTTGTGGATCATCTCTAATATCATTTTGGAACAATATCTTGTCTTTCATTGTTGTGCAATTTTACCACAGGTGAGAAATTTGCACATCTGGTATGAAAATTTTAATTGCTGGATTGAGTTCCAAGACAGCACGTCAAAAATGGCGTTTGGCGAAAAAGAAAAAAAAAACGCTGCACAAAATCAAAAACGCGCTATTCAGTGGTTAAGCATCCGACAATGGTTCAAACTGATCAAGTCAGGTTACTCACGCTAGATTCTATTGTTATTTGGAACAAGACTTCAGAACAAATAAAAATTTGAATAATGCCGCCAGGTTAAATTAAACAGCAGCATATCTTCACGGCTGATTATTTGAAACTTGTTCGGTGCTTGTAATTTATCCAGCTTTTAAAAGAAGGTGCGTGAATTAAAAGCCTGCTCGGGGATTTCTCAAACTACTGCAGTTCATAATTTCGTTCCAATCATAAGAGCAGAGCTCCTTTGTTGCAAGTTTCTTCGATGAAATGAAATCCGTAAAATTTCGCAAAAAAGAAATTTTTTGAAATGAATTCGAAATATTGTTGTGAGCTGATTTTTTCTCCGGAGTTTTTGGTAAATGCCGTACACCAAGATTTCTTTCGTTTTATTTTCAGGATGAAGACAGAAATGACGGACGCCGGTTTGTTCTGGTTCTATGGCTCAGTTTGCTTGTTTGCAGCACTGTTCTGTGCATTGTGCTTACCGGAAACGAAGGGGATATGTTTGCGACAATTGGAAAGAGAGCTGTCGAAAAAATCGACTTCTACTCTCACGTCATGATAGCATTTCAAAAAATTTCCGACGAGGCTTTCGTGATGAAGGAGGTTGCTCTTGTGGTTCAAAATTTGTACAAAAAAAAAGAAAAAAAATGAAAACAAAGAAAAGGGATCACGATGCGAAACTTTGCCAATGAAGAGGAAGAACTTTGTCATCTCGACTTGACAATAACTCATTGCTCTCATAAATTCTTGTCTGTATATTTGCTTCTAGAAGCGAAAATACAATTCGCTTCCATTGGATCAATGTAGTGGTTAAAGTTCAACTGCGTGACAAATCGAAATTTATGTTAAAATGGACTACAGTATTGTCAAACAATAAAAACCTAAAAATGTTCAGACTTGTTTGGTAGACGGACATTCATTCATATGTGGGTTCTGATGCTCGTGGATGTTTAACATTGGTTCGTTTTTCTTTTATTTTGCTTTTTCCTCCTTTCGAGATGACATTCTGTATTGAGGAGGGTTTGAATTAGATCCCATGCAGACTTGTTTTTAATTGAAGTACAGTAATGAATCATCTCTACTGATTCCTATTTTTCATTAGAAAAAAATCAGGATTGATTTTTAAAATCGTAAACATTAAAATCAACTCCTCGGATAAGGCGCTTCAAGTTTGCTTAAAGAAATATTTTTGAAAACCAAAAACCGTGGATTTCCTGTACACTCGAGACAACACTTTCCCCATTTCACACGTAATATGTGTGACGAACACTTCCCAGAATCTAAAAAAATTGCGCTGGCCATTTCAGATGAATCATAATTAGCCCATATGGACCCTGTCGAACCTCAATGTTTTCTGTGAAAAAGGAGCATATTTTATATCATTTATACCTATTTTAGAATAGACTCTCCCAAGAACTTTTCATGCCGGGACGATTCGTATTTTTCCCCAGTCCTACAGGAAAAAACGGGCTCGGGGAAAATCCCGAGAAAAGAATGACAGCGTAACCACAGGATGCGACGAAGGGACGGGTTGATTTTTGTATGATAAAACCTGTTTGTTGGGAGAACCCGGGGATGCTGGCCGCTGGTCAGTTACCCTCAAGCAGGTATTCCCCAGCAGCAGCAGCAGCTTCATCAGATTCATTTTTCTTCAGCTTTTTTCCGTTGTCAAAGGAAAGTAACGTTTGCGAAACGCATCATATCGATCTCATCATCTAGGGATGGTTTCCAAATGCATCATAAATTTTGCTTATCATTCTCCTCGGAATCAGCAAAATACTGCGATCAAATTTTCGTTTTCGCAATCGACCCCGATGAACCGAATTTTCCAAAAAATGCTCAAGAGAATGTGTTTAGATGTTGCTTTTGATCGACGGTAAATCGTACTCAAAATAAGCTAACAAAGTAGCAGAAATATTTCCAAGGATTTGGCAAGGGGCCCACAAAAAAGTTTCAATTGAACGAATTCAATTGGTTATTTACTTCTCTCTGAATATCATCACTTCACACTTGTATGCTCTTCTCCTTCCCGAGTCCAAACAGATATAACTCAAGGGCTTTCAAAAATTATGCTTCTATAGTGGTTTGAAGGAGCAATTTTGTAAGTTATACGTAGATCCGCATTAGGTTGTTCCAAAGATTCCAGCATTGAATAGGGAGAAAATGAAAATTTGTCGTACGCAGGAGGTTTCTGGAATGATTGATTGTAGAAATTAAATTTTATGCCCGAGGTTTGTGTGAGCTCAGAAAACCGTTGGCGTACTTCTGGGTCCAAGCAGAATGGAGTTGTTTTGCATGGTTGAACCAAACGCCAGAAATGCTCTTATCTTTGAGATGGGTTACTGGATGACTCAATTATCCCCAAAAATATAATTAGCTTTCGAAAGTTTGTGATCATCGTAACTTTTTGGTAGCTTCAGTGCGATATTCATAACTGAAGTACAGTACTTCAAAAGGGAACAGTACTTCATCAGCGAAGACAAAATTGTCTTTGCTGAATTTTATATTTTGGGATTATGTGTTGATCGAGATGAAGAAGGAACCTTGTCGTTATTGATACAAGGTGCGAATGAAATTAGATAATCACAAGTGAGTGAGCAAAAATTTCGCTTTCGAGCACATTTCTACGGATATTAATTCATGAAATAGGGAATAAATACGGTTTAATGGATTTTTATATACAAAATGGTCTAACCTGGTTTTTAACAAGCAGGAATCTTGCTTTACCCAACATCATGCGCGATGATGCGAAAACAAAACCAAATTAAATGGCAACGATGAAGCTTGACTTTTTCAAATGTTTGTCACGAGCCTCGAAGACCCAACATTTCCATTACATTTTTTTAAACATTTCAATGGAACTAAGAAATTTTGTGTCGTGGGCATTATTTATAACGGACGGAAGGCAGAAATACAGTATGAAAAAGAAAGATATGAATCAAAGATATTACTGTACTGCTGCAGCTCTCATGAATACAAAATACTGTACTTATGAATACAATAGAACTCCGATTATCCGGACTCATGGTCGGATGCCTTTGCCCAGTTGATCGTATATCGCGGATAATCTGATAACCTATTAGAACCGTTCGTTCAACCGGTAAATATTGATATCCTAAAATGGTAAGACAAACTATTATCAATACTCGTGCAAATTTTGAAGCGAATCAGCTCGGATATTTGCCCCGCGATTAAAGAAAAACAGTCGAACCTTTCCAAGTCGAATTTCAAGGGACCAGCAAAAAACGTAAATCGAGTTACGGAGGTTTCAAGTTGGAGAAAAAAACATTTTATTTTTAGAAAGATTCCTGTCTGTTAAAAGCCAGGTTAGACCATTTTGTACATAAAAATCCATTAAACCGCATTTATTCACTATTTCATGAATTAATATCCGTAAAAATTTGCTCGAAAGCGAAGTTTTGGCTCACTCACTTGTGATTATCCAATTTCATTCGTTCCTTGTATCAATTACGACAAGGTTCCTTCTTTATCTCGATCAATGCATAATTCCAAAATATAAAAATCAGCAAAGACAATTTTTTTTTCGCTGATGAAGTACTGCTCCCTTTTGAAGTACTGTACTTCAAGTTATGAATATCGCACTGAAGCTACCAAAAAGTTACGATGATCACAAAATTTCGAGAGCTAATTACCTTTTTCGCGATAACTTAGTCATCCAGTAATTCAACCCATCTCAAAGATCAAGAGTATTTCTGCCGTTTGGTTCAACCATGCTTTTGTTGAGGTAAGACGAACCTGGGTCTTCATGCGGTTAATTGCCACAAGATATGGTCCTTTAACGTTTACCACTATAAGACTCGGTCTTCACTATATATTCAATTGTCTTACGACTTGAAACTCCCAAGAGGGCATTTGCCCAATTAGCCCATAAATTCCTTTCAAAAAACACATCAGATAAATCTTTTCTCCTTTCTGTGTAAAAAAGAAAATAGCCAAAAGGTATCAGAAAATTTGACTTATGGAGGTACATTACCTGTATTTGACACATTAGGCAGGTTCAAGTTATCTTTCTTTCTATCAGTTTCACACATGAAAATATTGGTGGCAATAAATGCATTCTGAAATTATTGATAGGTTTTCCACCTGGACCGCTGCTCTCAAGACTCATTTCCGAGAATAGAATACCAAACATCTTCCAAAAAAAAAGTTGTGTATGTCTACAAAATAAAAAAAATTCGAGGTTGCGTGCTGTCTTCCTTCCCATCAAATGCGTTAGTTAGCATAATTCTCCCTTTGTTTCATATAATTTCGGATCCGTCGCGTAAGCAATTTTGCGTTTAAAGGGGGATTCGTTAAAAAGATCATTCATTGCAAGCAGTATAACACCTTAAATTGAAATAAACAAGCTCCACTCTGTGACTCTTCTTGGAACTTTTCTTTGAAAAGTTAGTTCGAGAGAGCAGCTGGTTTTATGTAGTTGGGCAAAGGTGCATGCGGTTACGTTGGGAGCTTCGGGCGCAGCAGGCAGCGAGCGGACATTTAAATGAAGAAAGGACGCAATAATAAGCATGGCTTCGCAATTGGAGTGGAACGACTTCTCGGAACTCGGCGTTGTAGCAAAAGGGCTTTTTTCTTGGGACGTGCCCGAGGCCAAGCTGAAACAAGCATTTTTTCATTCAAGCACTGATCCATGCTTCAGAACATCGTAATTTTTCCCTCTATTTCTTTCTCTCTCTCTAGCCAGAACAGCATTTAAAGAAATGAAAATAAACAATGCGAAAGTTGCTTCTGGGAGTCTTGTAGGCCTTCGGGTACGACTGGAAGGATAAGAAAGAAGTCACGTGACATGAGATATGTACTTTTTCATCTATGGACATGGTACTGTGCCGTGTTAAGTAAAGGTTCTTTAAAATTTTACTACTGGCACATTAAATTTATTAAAAATGGTTAGGCGGTCTCCCAAGTTGACAGTTTCAGCTTTCTCTTTATCCCCCATCACAGGTAGAGATTCTTACTGGTCGATTAATTAGGGCGTCCGGGAAACTCAAAATCTGATAACGACTTACTCAAATAATTCATGGCGTTCACTGTCATAGCCAGTCAACTCATCAAGTTGACGGGATCCAGTTCTTTAAGTCTCTTCCACAGAGTAGCAGTGTCTTAACTCTGTCGAGGCAGCATCAGTTTAATTACTCAATGCCCAAGTGGTGTACTCATTAGGAGGTCAGAATTTAGTGCAGTGTAAACTGTCCCGAAAAAAATCTTAAAAATTCCTCGACGGGTTTCATTTTGCACAAAACGTCTGGACCAAGAGGGAAATCTTAAAAGTATCAAATTAAGCAAGAAAAGTTTCAGTTACGAATTCAGAATTCAATTTGATTTGTCGATGTGTGGTGACTAAAACGGCAGCCTGCCGCTACGAAATAAAGGTCAATCATACAATCTTGTGCGAAAAAAAGCGTCGGCGAAATGAAAATGGCTCAACAAAGAAATAGAGGATAAGAATTAATGGCCTAAGGAAAGCCGGTTCGAGAAGAAATACTGTTTTGCACTGCACAATAAAAATGGAAAGAGGAACAAAAAATGATTCAATTAGCACAATGATAACACAAATCGCGTATATATTACACGAATATACAAAAAAAGTGAAAGAGTACTTGATGCTACGCAGAATACTCTGTATGTACAAAAACGCGTTCTTGTAACGTCATGAGTATTGACAGAGAAAATTATTCATAATTCATTGCAACACGCTCTCTTTCTATCCCCCATAATTTATTCATGCGTTGTATTCATTCATTTTTGCTTTTCGAGCAATTACAATTTGTGTAATCCATTCGCTGAATCAACAGCTTCACATTTATTCTGAATTTCCGGTTTTTTTCAGGAGCAGAAATTTCCAGCGTCAAATTCTCGTCGCATCATTTTGACATCGACAGCCATTTAAAAAAAAACGAGCGTTTTATAAAACAATATCATTCACGAATTAAATGTCACACGAGCATGTTTTCGCGCCTTAATTCACGATATTTTCGCGGATTAATTTTACGATATTTTCGCGCATTAATTCACGATATTTTCGTGCAGAGTGGAACAAAAATAACAAGCAGTAGCGAGTCTTGATTCTTTCGTTTTTTGTCTCTCTCAATCTACGCCTCTTCAACCTGGTTACGAAGTGGTTAATTCTGGAACTGCCAGTCGCAATCGATGCTTTGATTTACGTGGGCAAGCGAATAATTATTATCACCAGCTGCTGGTTTCTGTCGCCCAACTTGGCCGCGTTCCTGAAACACGAAGCGTTTCCACGTCTCTCCCTTTTGTCCCCATGTTTCCTCGGTTGTAAGGCTATATAAAAGCCATCGTCAGATATGCGGTCAAGAACTTGGGGATGACTTGATTGGGAAAAGCTAGGGGATACTAGGGCAATGTTACAACCGGGATCGCAGGGATTTGTCCTTCGACCAAAATGCATCGGGGGCACCTATAGTGATAAATATACAGTACAGTAGAATCCCATATATTGACAATTAATAACGAGCAGGATTACGAAGAAATGTTGCTTGAAATATTTGTTTTATTTTTTGAGTGTGTCATTGAGGTCACCACGGAAAAGCCACAAATGTGTATGTATCAAGGAAATGCAGTGTTCAATGCCAAGGATTTTCCTTTCGTGCCCAAAGGTTGTTTTTTTTTGCGGAGAGATTCTGCTTAGATGGCTCCGATCACAACATGCACACGTATAGGAACGTTCGCAGGATAAAACACATTCCCCACAACATTGAGCATCGAAAAATTGAAAAATGTTTCCCATATCTGCGCGAGTAGGAAATATATTTGTAGAGTGACAAGAATTTTAGCTCACTTTTAGTTTTAAAACTTTTAGAAATTCATACGCAAAAAAATGAAGCCCTTCAAAATATGCGAAGTACAATAGTACTTCAGATAACAGATTTTAGATAGAATACGCTTCCCTCAACGGACTGGTACTACCACCGATTTTCACTTCGGATAGCAGACTGTGGAGGAAAACGATCATTTTTAAAATAAAAAATCAAACTTCTTACAGCAAATGTGGCTATACTTTTGTAGTGGGATGAAAGCTCTATTTATGGTAGTCAATTCGATAATACTGAAGGTGAACTGCGCAGCAGTATAAACATTTCAGACTCATCTNTCATTCAAGCACTGGTCCGTGCTTCAGAACATCGTAATTTTTCCCTCTATCTCTTTCTCTCTCTCTAGCCAGAACAGCATTTAAAGAAATGAAAATAAACAATGCGAAAGAACGAAGACCCTCAGAACATCCGGAAGCCCATGCTGACCTTCCTATTCTTTCTTCAGTGCACTGTACTCTATACATGAAAAAGTAGATACCTGTACCATGACACGGCACAATTCATTTCCAAGAAATTATATTCATTCATTTCCAAGAAATGAATTTTACTACTGGCACATTAAATTTATTAAAAATGGTTAGGCGGTCTCCCAAGTTGACAGTTTCAGCTTTCTCTTTATCCCCCATCACAGGTAGAGATTCTTACTGGTCGATTAATTAGGGCATCCGGGAAACTCAAAATCTGATAACGACTTACTCAAACATTTCATGGCGTTCACTGTCATAGCCAGTCAACTCATCAAGTTGACGGGATCCAGTTCTTTAAGTCTCTTCCACAGAGTAGCAGTGTCTTAACTCTGTCGAGGTAGCATCAGTTTAATTACTCAATGCCCAAGTGGTGTACTCATTAGCAGGTCAGAATTTAGTGCAGTGTAAACTGTCCCGAAAAAAAGATCTCGAAAATTCCTCGACGGGTTTCATTTTGCACAAAACGTCTGGACCAAGAGGGAAATCTTAAAAGTATCGAATTAAGCAAGAAAAGTTTTAGTTACGAATTCAAAATTCAATTTGATTTGTCGATGTGTGGTGACTAAAACGGCAGCCTGCCGCTACGAAATAAAGGTCAATCA